TTTTTATTTGTATCGGTTCATCTTTTAGTTGTACCGGTTTATGACATCGATGTATTTGCACATAACGTCAATGTATAGCACATAACATCAATTTATAGCGCGTAAACTCGATTGATACATTTCAGACATTTTGTCCGCTAAAAAACTTCATATTTATATTTATTCATTTAATTCGCGTCATGTGACCCATTTTCTTTTTGTTTTGTATGTCAGTGCTTACAGTACATTAGGCCGTGGGATGAGCATCCAAAAGATGCAATTCCGTTGCACCCCTCGTGGAACTATGTAATTTTCACATGAATAAATAGATAAAAACTTACTTTATCAGAATCCGTTGCTCCCCAAGTGAAACAGGTGCACAATTGGGAGAAAAATCCCTCCAATGGCGCTTTGAAATATTCGAACCGCCATTATTTTGGTAGCAAATACGCATGCGCAACTCAGCCAAACTCGCACTGCGCACGCGCAGACTATAAAAATAGATTCTCACTGGGGGGTTCCCCGATTTCCTCCGCAAAAACAACAAAATAAAACACGGAATACTGATCAAACCTTGTGATATAAATACACCCACATTAAATATTGTTAAAAATACGCTGTATATTTTGCTTGCTCATATGCTAAATCACTTCAATTCATTGGCTATTGTTTCAAAATACCGTTTTAACGTTTAGTTCTACTTTATATTAACATCCTAATTCAATACAAATTTGTGTGAGGTAAAAAACCCACCTGTATCAAACAGGACGGAGAATAAAAAATATATACATACAACTCACACGATCAATGAACAAATGAAATATTTCGCTAAACTTAAAGCCTTGGCCAAACGTAAGAAACAATGTCGCGGAAATATTCGTGATTTTTAATTGGCTTTTATTGCAGACGCAAAATTTGCTTCACAGAAAGCAAATTATTTACTACCAAATTCAGATTTCCGAAGCATTTTGGAAAGACAAATAATATGACAACAGTGTTTCCCAGTTCGTCCCGGGCTTTAAGGGATATTTATATAAACTCGAAATTCATCATAAAAAAAGATAAATTGGGAGGAAATATAAAATTCATTAACATTTACAAAACATTATAGCTATCTATAATTGAAAGAAATGTTTTCATCTTTGAACCCAGATTTTCATCAGAGCAATAAAATCCCACTTATTGGATCCTGACCAAGGGCTTACACGCTCAAAACGAGATTGCATGTATTCTGCAATAAGCTGTCCTGGCTTTTGTCTGGTAAAGTTCTACTTCTCCTATTTGAACTATTACGTGTATTATATTTATATTGTGACATATATAAGTTGGTATTTAGCCACTATCTAAAATTATAACAAGGAACGATTCAGCCTGGTTTTTCGTGTCCATACTAGTTGACTTTTTCTTATAGATTTGCTGCTGTGAGTTTCAGCTCCTCCACCAGGGTGCGTTTTAGCTTCTCAGACATGACCATACTGTTAACCCTGCCCATGAGAGGGATATATGTGTTGATAATATAAATACTGTGGATCCGGCGAATGAGAATATCAAATAAGTAAATAAATACTGATCTACTCCACCGATAATACCTACATGCATTACCATCATTGTTCACCTCAAATCATTAATAATTCATGAGCAAATTAGCCAACCATATTGCTTTATTTTGCTCACATGATAATACTAGATACTTTATGAAGTATATTGATCCTGTAGTGCCCTTGGACTGGATTAAAATTAATTCAGTCCTTGGACTGGATCAAAATTAATTAAGTAGTGATTTATTCGTACATGAGATGTCATTTCAAATCCTCCAATTCGGACTGGACTAGATTTCAAGTCTTCTCATTTTAATCCAGTCCTCTGATTCTCCTCGGACGTGATCAAATTGTGTGGACTTGAAATCTAGTCCAGTCCTCATAGTTGGATTTGAAATATTATCCATTGTCAAATCAGATGCCAATGGTGGCCAAGGAAGATTTAGTTTTGGTATTTCTTGCACCTTTTGGTGAAGAATCAAGCATTGTATAGAATTTGTAACTCCTTGACTTTAGAATTTCCCTCGGTTTCTGTGTTGGAATTCACATCATCATTATCAGTGGTACAGCTCTCTTCATCAAAGTCCTCATCATTGTTTTCAGACTTAGGGCCTGTTTATATGGAAGCTGGGCTGGCCTGTTAAGCAAGACAGCCCGGTAAGCAAGATCTCGCTGTGTAGTTATTTTTATAGTAAAAATTATCATGGGTTTATATGGACAAGCGGGCTGGCCCGGTTGCCGAGATCTCGTTTGAAAGAGGCTACTCAGGCTAGATCTTGCTTACCGGGATGGAAATTTCTCCATATAAACATTTACAAGCAGGCTATACCAGTTGCTGGGATGAAAGTTCAAAAATACCGCCGCAAGCTATTTTTAACAACTGTCAAAACAATACAATGTAACAAAATTGTCCCGGTAAGCGGGATGAAAGTTTATCATATAAACACAAGAGAAATTCATCCCGCTTACCGGGCTGCCTCGCTAAGCGGGCCAGCCTGGCTTCCACATAAACAGGCCTTTAATTGACATATGTTCCTCAACCAATTCAGAAGAATCCAAATTTTCCACATATACAATCTCACTAACATTTCTCATTTTCGGTACACAGAACACAAGTTGGGGATAACTTTTCATCAGTCGTTGCTTGAGTTTAAAAGCTCTAAATCTAGATGCATCCACATTCTCAGTGTCCTTAGCAATGATAACAAATTTCTCCAGCAAATCTTTCATACACTTTATTTGCTTATTTCCGATGACCTCCATCTCAATTACTTTCTTACAGAATACATCATAAAACTTCTCGTACACTGATACTCTCGTTGCTTTTTCGTCTCTCTGGCGAAAAATATTGTATAATTGCAGTAGCAAACTTTGTGATGGCGGATTTCCAGAGATACACAGTCTTTCCCCTGGATTTGCATGAGTATCTGTTGCATCGTTCTTTCTCTCAGCAGCTGTACGTAGAAGACCAGCATCAATTGTTTCTGCCAACATGAATGGGGTTCTTCTGCTCTTCTTAGTTACCTGGTGTGAAACAAAATAAATTATTAAACTAAATATCTGCTAATAACAAGGTTGGATGTTTGTAGCATAGAAACTACTTTACCCTATATAAACTAAATTGATCACAATTCAATATATTTTAAAACCAAACCTGAGAATGTTGTGCACATTGCGCTAGTATTATACCTATCAAATACCATACCTTGTCTAGTGAGAACCATGAGGCGTCTCTTCCACAAATATTACATATCCCTGGGAGTACATGCGAGTTTCTTTTAGGCAGGGCCTTTATATTTATAGCTTCTGCGACTGATTGACGTGTATTAATTTTTCGCCTTGGTTCTATTGCCTCCACTTCCACGTGTGATTCTTCGGTAGAAGTTATAGTTTTAGAGCTAGTTCCTTCTCCTTTTTCTTCTTTTCTCTGTTATCTACGGATCTTCGGTTCATCACAAAATCTCGTCCAGCATTTCATATGATGGTTCCATTCTAAGTTAATGGTGTCAGAGTTCTTCTCGATGTATGAATTGACAGATCCGTCATCGATGTTCTCGTACGATTTCTTAGCTATTTCAGCTTGTTGACATTTAAGTTTGGCCCATTTTGACCTACACTCAAGAAATTTCTTAAGCCTTTGGCGTGTAACTTTGCAAAGTTGCTCCGTAACGCTCAAAATGCATAAAACATGAGGATATTCGAGTTTTATAAATATCTTCAGCCATGTTTATTTGCATAACTGAGCGTGTTTCCACTTCGAAGCATGTGCGTTGGTTGTGCGCGTGCGCAGTGCGAGTTTGGCTGAGTTGCGCATGCGTATTTGCTATCAAAACAATGGCGGTTCGAATATTTCGAAGCGCGAAAATATCAAACTTTGGAGGGATTTTTCTCCCAATTGTGCACCTGTTTCGCTTGGGGAGCAACGGATTCTGATAAAGTAAGTTTTTATCTATTTATTCATGTCAAAATTACGTAGTTCCACGAGGGGTGCAACGGAATGCGTTTTCTAAGCATCTTTTGGATGCTCATCCCACGGGCTACATACATATAGTTGTTTTCCTTCGAAATTTTTCGGTTTTGTTTTGCATCAGTTTGTTCAGTACTACTAAAAAGGATGCCTAAATTAACTAAGGTAACCTTATTTATACTGGATATACCTCGTATACTTGGTCATGAAAGCTAACAAATATCATTTTACGAGCGAAAATAAGCCACGGCTTAAGTAGCAAACATGTCGTATAAATGGTCAATTTGTTCGCAGGCCGCGGCTAAAATAAACCCCAGGGCTGAAAGCTATAGATCTAAATTAGCACCGGCTTATTGCGAATTATTTAAAACGCGACTTATGTATAGGCCGCGTCTTAGTTTCATCCGCATAAATAGCCCAAATGGTGCGACGTATTGCACAGTTTCTGGCAAGTTATATGCGCAATTCCGCTGTTCACCGAATAGTTGCCTGAGGAATAAACATCAAAACATGCTTGCTCAATTTATATTTTATTTCTTTTAATAGATCTGTACGTTTACAAAACCGTAACACAGAAATCCCAGGTAAGGTTTTGCAATAAATAAAAGTTTTGTCAAAATGCACACACCTCATACGACTGTTTGTAGCTTACTTTAATTGTAGTTTAAGTGGTAGTCTTAGAAATACTAGCTATAGAAACTCTACACACGGACTTGCAGAGCATTTGCACTATACGAAACTATGTTTTAACAGAGGGCATGCGTGTAGCCTGAAAACAGACCTACGTTTCGCCCGCCCTAAAATTCGCGGGTCGACGAAGGGCTAAACGTAAGTCTGATGAAAATGTTGTCAAAAGCGCCTTCTCCTACTTTGCATTTTGCAATAATTAACGATGATGATTGATACATTTACACGCCCTCTCATCTCCCGCACGCACTAAACGCCTGCTACGCAGGCTACATTTACATGTAACACCTAAAAATACAATCAAAGTTGTCGATTTCACTTTATTGAAACTTTGTAAACAAAGTAAGAGTCCATAAGTACAGATATTTGAATAAATATTTAAGGTAGTTACAGCTAGTAATAATACAACATTTTCAACACATTCTATAAATGCGATAAAATCTGCCTACGCAAATTTGGCAATGGCCATGTCCTATTGTTGAATTGCATCCCAACTCTTACAATTTATACACTTTGAAATCGCCATACAATGGAAAATCAAAATAAAATATTTTGTACGTGCTATGTTATCAAAATGTAAATCATGAATGCGCACATATTTGATCTGTTTTATTATGACAATGATTAACCACAAAACTTAGATCGTGTAAAAATTATCCCCGAGCCGACGCGCGAAGCGCCGTGCGAAGGTACCAATCCCCCCCCGGCTATTTGCACCCAGTAAACGAAAGCATTAGCCAAGTCTAAAGTTCGTCAATGAGCGCGGGCGTGGGTTACCGTGAGTGGTTCGCTGGGTGGTCATCCTCACTGATCTCAAAATTATGGCGGACTGTCATGAACAGCGGACACTGATTGGTTCAATTTAAATTTGCATTATAACGACTGCATGACGACAGTCACGACAGCGAAATAGCAAACAGTTCTTGATTTGATGATTGATAAATTTCTTGCAAATATATTTCATTTTTGCTCCCATTTTTGCAAGATTTTCTAAATTTCAAAAGCTTTCTCAGAAAGAAAGGGCGAAAGAATCGGCTAAAAGAAGGGAGCCGACGTTAACGAAGGTAAGTTGCTTTAAAAATGCTTTAAAACCCGACCACTTTTGGCCTTTGACGTATATGAAACAACTATTAAAACAACACAGCATATAATTTCAGTGTATTATTAATAATGATTTCCTTTTTTATTATATTGAATTTTTTAAATAAAAAAGAAAGCAAAGTTATTTGCATGCGAGAATTTGAAATCATTTTATTGAAAACTCAAAGTTTATCGATAAAGTCATTTAATTATTAAAGGCAGTTTAGTTTTATAAAATTTAAAACGTTTTGCGAAGCGTTTGCGGTTGAATTTTACCTTAAATTGGAGCTTATATTACGTATAATAACATACCTAACATATATATGTTGCGAAATTGATAATTTTGTAATTAAAAGTGATATTTTTAGGCGATTAGATACTTCATGTTCGGAAAATACAATGATTTTGTCAGCAAAGCGAGGGTTTCTGCATGCATGTATTTTCTAGTTGTATTGTATATTACAACGGAAAGACACAACGGTGAAGTATTTGACACGTACTGCTCTACTCCCCTCCAGTTTTAATTTTAGACTGTAGATATTGTACTGATAGACTAGTTGTCGTTCGACATCACAAAATATTTAGAATATTACACTGTATGCAAATTATGTGCGTTGATTTATCGTTGAAATAGATTCTGATCTTTTCAAATCTTTTCATGTTAGCGACCAACCAATCACATCCCATTTCCCTGTGAATTAGCCAATCAGCTATTCCGACCACGTGCCAGGCGGTCGGATTCCACAGCGTTTTGACAACATTTTCATCAGACCTACGTTTCGCCCTTCGTCGACCCGCGAATTTTATGGCGAGCGAAACGTATAGGTCTGTTTTCAGGCTAGCATGCATGCAATTACATTTTTCGCAGCTGCTCTCCGCCGCGTCTAAAATTGTATATAAATTTTCGCTCGGAATTTCCATCCAAAACAAAAACCCACCAACATTCGTGATATTATCATGTGTCACAACGTGATATTATCCCATGTGCTTGCACTGGTATCACATAGTATGTTTCCTAATTTACCCAGGATTCTTCAAGGCTTAATAATTTTTTTATATTACCTTTTTTCAGTTCTTAACAATATATATATATATATACAGGGTGTATCAAAATAAACGCAATTCATCTTTTGCGCTTAATAACTTTCGAAATACCATTTCTAGTTAAACGCTTTTAGGCTTACTTCAAAGCCTGTTCTTTTCTCTTTCAAACAAACTATTATCCTTGTCTCCAATGCTAGTAATAATTGCACAGGAAAAGATTTAGTAAAACTTATCATTTTTAGTTGCTGTTTAATTATGCAAGTTTACTATGTTATTGTTTAGTCGGTTTAAATGTTAGAATTTTCTTCTTTAAATTTTAATGTTGTCGTCACTACATCTGGAAAACCACGTAAGAACAAATTTAAAGTATTTTAAAAGAGACAAGGTTGTTTAAAAATCCTAAACGAATGCTAAAAATCGTCAAAACATTCTGGTGTCTGAGCCAGAGTGTCATCGAATTGCGAATGATGTAATGTAAACGGAAATTATAGCAAGTTGATGTCAGTCAGCTTAGATGGTCCAAGCCAAAATTATATCGCATTTGAAGTTTCAAACTGAGTTAAAAATAGTGGAAGAAAAGCCGTAATTATACTTTTGTTACAATCCATTTAATAAAATGCAATATTTTTTTGTTTTAATGAAAAAATCAGTTATTTTCATGAGAACGATTTGTTATTCCATCTCAATTTTTTTAGTCTCCAATCGCAATAACGTAAAGTATTATTACCCGCGAACCAATGAGTCAAATTTAAGAAACAACCCACTGTTAGAAAGCTGAATGGCTACGCTTTAAAATGAATGTAAACTTTAACGTTTTCGTCTATTATTTGCTTAGCAATTTACATTTCAGTCGAGGATTGCGCTTTTTTGATACACCCTGTATATATATATATATATATATATATATATATATATATATATATATATATATATATATATATATATATATATATATATATATTTTCTTCACCAATTAGTAATAGATCAAAATGCTTCATTCGTGGTTGAAGAATTAGCAGAATCTACTAATCCAACAAGCAACAATTCCCAACCAACGCCAGAGCAATCACAACTGTATGAGATACCTAAATGGGAACACGAGTACGACTATGTATACGCTAACGATCGCACATTTGACTTACAACTTCGAAGACGAAGTTCTAAGTACGATCTCCCACAGAGCCCTACATACGAATATCCCGAGAAGCCCCAAACCCATCAATACGAGTATCCTTCACTTGATAAGCCGATATTAAAGAAGGCGACACAACAGGAAGACGATACAACGGGAATATATACAGATACTGGCGTAATGGACAGCGGGTATTCTCCACTTGTAAGGTCGCCAGTAAACAACAACGAAAGTGACGATAGCGGTTACACACACCTGCAATACAGTGTCCAAAGAGGAAAAGAAGAGGCGGGTGCAACTGAGAGAGCGGTTAAACCAGATGGATTACTTAATGCAATGGACGACAAGTATACTCCACTAGTAAAGCCGTCATTAAAAAATGGATGTGAAAATAGCGGTTATGCTCATCTGATCAATGGTCAAAAAACAAGTGACGAAGGAGGTGCAAGAGGGGGGAAGGATGAAGCAGACGAATTGTTGTATGTTGTTGTAATGGACGGCGAGAATACTTCTAATTCTTTAATGGCGACCTTAAAGAATGCTAGTGAAGCTCCAGATCACGCATCCACCTCTGATCACAAAATGAAGTAGCTAATCCAACGCGAAACACAGATGTTTCTTAAACTAATCTTATAGACTGCACCATGAATGCCACTCATTTGGTGAGGAAAATGAGTTTCTTTGCAATCCGGGTTTTGTTTGTGTTTTTACTCGTGAATTTGTAATTGGGATTAAAAGAAAACACAAAGAAAAATCATAAGCGTGTCGTATCTGTATATATGTGATACAGATTCCTGTTGATTTACGTAAACTTTAACTTTGATTTTCTCGGCTTAGACAACGTTAATTTTTAAAATTACTTCGCCAATGAACTCATACGATGAGTCGTTTTTTAAGCCATTTTTCGGCGAGAGTTTGTATATCCGATACAACACGGCCGCTCATGTTGTAAATAGTACTCACAAACGTGGCCTTGGTTCAAAAGTGTTTGGCTAATTGAAATGACGTTGTTTACGGCAAATAAACTATATATTGACGTTTTTTCTTGTTTTCACTTAAATTCGAAATGTTATAACAGTTGTTGTGCTGTATACAATAGTGCTAATGACAGACCACTATGGCGTTAGAGTTCGTCATACCGAATATGGTATATAGAGGTATCTTTTTTGAGACCTCTAGGCTTATTATATTATTTTTTATGTAAATTTATGTAAATATATATGGGCGAAACCAATAAATAAAAACATCTCTCTGGCATGAATATCCACCTTTGTCAAACCCAAACCTATACCTATAAGTCATTAAGATTCCCAATGCAGACGTCCGCTCGTTACGAAGAGCAACCGCATTTTGAGTTAATTTTACCCATTGGACGTTGTGATCCGACTTACAGACCGCCTGTTTGGAAGGTGGTTTACGAACCATCAATTACTAGGGAGATGCTAAGCATGATAGGACGAGCCTGAGCATTGAGAGCAATGATAGCCAGCAACTATCATGAAACAATAAAATAATTACTAATGTCAACCTTTCTTGTTTCCGCACTTTAATTAATTAACCTATCATTGGCATTGCAATGTAGTGTCGAAAATTCAAAGGCAAAACTCGCAGTATTATAAATGTTGGGAATTGTAGTATATCTAGCCGTGTATTATATTTGATATTTTGTTCAAAGGCAAAACTCGTAGTATAGAGTGTTTGCATGTGACGTCATAAAAATTCCAAAAGCTCAAGCGTTTAACATATATAGTTGCCCATTTTATATATTTTGTATATCTTTACTACAAGTATTCCTGGCAAATTTTAAGTCGATACAGTAATTCATTCACAAGTTAAAGGGGCTTGGATAATTTGTATTGCTGACGTCAGCATTATTTTGAAAGGCCGTTATAAGCTATGCGGTTTTCCAAACCTAAATTGAAATAGTTCGATGGGCTTTCAAAAGCTTTATATAATTAATATCAAACATATATAATTGTGAACCTGTGTGATAAAATATAACTTTTCTTGAGCATTTACTACACGGCCGCCATGTTGGTGGTCCAATATTACGCAATCTTAGACCACCAACATGGCGGCCGTGTAGTAAATGCTTAAGAAAAGATATATTTTATCACACAAGTCCTCAATTGTGTTTGATATTAATTATATAAAGCTTTTGAAAGCCCACCGAACTATATCAACTTAGGTTTGGAAAACCGCGTAGCTTATAACGGCCTTTCAAAATAATGCTGACGTCAGCAATATAAATAATTCAAGCCCCTTTAACTCGCGAATGAATGACTGCATCGACTTGAAATTTGCCAGGAATACTTGTAGTAAGGATATAAAAAATATATAAAATGGGCAACTATATATGTTAAACGCTTAAGCTTTTAGAATTCTTATGACGTTACATGCAAACACTCTATTAATTAATGTTGGGAATTGTATTTCTATCCATGTACAGTATAAGGCCTGTTCTAAATGTCGCATTTTACTTGTATCGAATGCATTCAAAACAATATATTGATAATCAGCTGAAATGCCTCATTATCCATTGTTTTGAATCCAATGCGTTTAGAACAGGCTTTATATTTGATATTTTGTTAAGACATTAAACACGTTATTGAACTAATCACAATCTTTTCCATCTTTCATGCATGAAATATAAAATAATATAGAAATGGTTGATTGCATGGTTTTTGGCAAGCGCGCTAAAAATAGCAGATGCATACTACATGCACTGCATGTAAACAAAACATTTAATACGTACAGAGCCAGATTGCAAAAACTTGCAAATAAGGCCTTTTTTCATAGTCTTAGAGAAAAATAACAGAATTACAGAATTTACAGAATATTCAGCCCAAATCAAATCGAAATCTGGCTTTGCATCAGACTTTGATCCGCAACTCACTCAGAAATGTAGTAAAAGTAATTAAAAATGCGATGGGCCTATAAAATCCTTAATAATACTGAATGTAAACAAAACATTTACATACTGTACAGAGCCTGATTGCAAAAACTTGCAAATGATGTCTTTTTTCACAGTCTCAGAGAAGAATAACAGAATTACAGAATATTCAGCCCAAGTCAAATCGAAATCTGGCTTTGCATCAGAATTTGATCCGCAACTCACTCAGAAATCGAGTAAAGTAAAATTGCGATGAAATATACTGCATGTATTATTAAAACAAAACATTTAATGTATCATACAGAGGGCCGGATTGCAAAAACTTGCAAATAAAGTCTTTTTTTAGAGAAGAATAACAGAATTACAGAATATTCTACGGTGGCCCAGATGCGACAGCACAAAAACAGTTTCTGTATTTTTTGATTTTTTGATTTTTTGATTTTTGTATTTTTGTATTTTTTGATTTTTTGATTTTTTGATTTTTTGATTTTTGTATTTTTTGATTTTTTGATTTTTTGATTTTTTGATTTTTGTATTTTTTGATTTTTTGATTTTTTGATTTTTTGATTTTTGTATTTTTTGATTTTTTGATTTTTTGATTTTTGTATTTTTTGATTTTTTGATTTTTTGATTTTTTTATTTTTTGAAATACATTTGGATTTTTTGAATGTTTAAAGACCTTGTCAAGTTCGTTCTGCACATCAGTTCTGTTCATAACAAAGGGTGACCCACAGAAATAAATATTGCCCAAATTTTGCATTTTTCGAACTGTTTTGAATTGAAACGTACTCTAGCTAGTTTATATTCATTTACAATAGCGAACCAGAAAACTGTTAGATATTTAGTTAATAGTATGTCTTATTTTACAAATATATAGCAGTCCAAAATATAAACAAAGCGTCGAAGGATTTATTTACATTACGCGGACTTGACATGCGGCAGGTACAAAACGCAGGTTGCAGGTTGCAGGTTGGAATTTTGCAGGTTGGGAATTTTGCAGGTTGGAATTTTGCAGGTTGGGGATTTTGCAGGTTAGAATTTTGCAGGTTGACAGGAATTTTGCAGGTTGATGATGCAAACTGAAAATTATGCTACTATAAAGTATTCTAGTATAATTTTATTGTGTACTTATTGCAGTCTGACTCCTTGTCGCCGTTTTTGATATCAGCCTATCCTGCTACCATGTTTCTAGCCTCTGCTCATCACCCTTGTGAAAACATTCAAAATGACCAGATTGGCTTGGATCTTCAGGGGGACGAATGTTTCGATTGTTGCGAGGAGCCTACATGACGTGGTGGCAGTTCAGAAAATGCCTGAATGAGGTGTCTCTCCTCTGCACCCACTTATGAGAAGTCCACTCAAGCCCCCAATTACCGTATCATTACTCGAGAGTAACGTTAGTTAACTTTTAACAACATTCTAGTATAAACGCCGCCACGTCATGTAGGCACCTCGCAACAATCAAAACATTCGTCTCCCTGTAGGTCCAAGCCAATCTGGTCATTTTGAATGTTATTACAGGGGTGATGGCCACTAGCCTTAGAGCAGAGGCTAGGAACATGGCAGCAGGGTAGGCTGATATCAAAAGCGCCGACAAGGAGTCAGACAGCAATAAATGCACAACTAAGTTATACTAGAATACTAAAAAAGTGGTGTAATTTTAAGTTTGCACTATCAACCTGCAAAGTTCCTGGCAACCTGCAAAATTCCAACCTGCAAAATCCCCAACCTTTTATGCTAAAAGAGAAATAGCATTCCAGAGTAAATTGTATTCAAATATATATTTTTAAATTTAGGGCGTGTTGTAGCTCTATATTTCGCCGTCCTGGTGTAGTTTACTCGAAGTCCTCGCCTGTTTGTGAAAAGAAGTACATTAAAGATCAAGCATAACATCCAAAGCTAAAGACATTAAGGTATGTTCTGTTTCTATCAATTTGATGTGAAATGTTGATATTTTAGCAAGTTAGTCAAATTTGACTATAGCAAGTCGGTCGCTTAAGGCCATGTTACACTGTGCAATTTTTCTTGCAACTTGCAATGCAATTCTACTCTTGAGAGATGTAAAATTGCCAAATACGAGTTTTCATTACTGATGTTTTCTCAACATATCGAAAATTCTTCACAGATTTCGGTAATTAACATCTCTCAAGAGTAGAATTGCATTGCAAGTTGCAAGAAAAATTGCACTGTGTAACCCGTGGCGTAACATGGCTGGCCTTCTGGGATGTTATGTTACATTTATTTAATTAAATTAAACATTGCAAATTTTTTTGGGACACCCGGGATTAGGGTTTGGTGATATTTTGATTTATCGCGATATTTTCATTTGCGATTATCATGTCGAAGGTAGAAAATTGAGCGACGATATATCGAAATTATCGTCATGCTCGATGATGATTATATTGCTTCGCATGTGTATATAGGTTTTATAAAATCCTAAAAAATTCTTTCAATTCTTAGAAAATATAGTTTTTAAAAGAATTAAAATTATTTCCTGACTGTAATACGAATTTAAGGTGGCTCTCTAGGGTTTTTTAATTTACTACACTATAGTATTCAGGAGACTCCTGTTTCTTTACTTTACATGATATGAAGACGAAATTTATTGGACACATTGACAATATTCTCCTGAACATTGCAAATTGCTACTTCTCACACACTGCTGAGAGCTGCTGCAGTGTCAGCCGCAAGCTGGACATTTATTAATTTAAACTACCATACATTACAATTGCTCGCTTAATAATTACTCTAACAGGTACATATATATCCAATCCAACGCCGTTCTGTACTAATAAACATAAAAGGGCTGGGTGGGTGGGATACTGTCAAGCCATGCTGAGCAACAACAAAAATATGCTCATATAACCTGCACCACCTTGTAACACCCTGATTTCATCAGGCCCCCAGCAGTGTGTGAGAAAACATTTTCCGCTTCTTTCGTGCCTCAGCCAGCGGAAAATAACACTTTTGTGTTTATAAATAATTGGCATGGCAACAGCATGCTTAGAATAAAGTTCAAAATATGTCTTTTTCAGGTCATTTTAAAATTTCCTTCGGTGAAATTTTTTAAAACTTTGCATAAAAGATAATACTTGTATAATGATTTTTTCCCCTCAATTTAAAAAAATTAAATCGATACGTTTCTTAGAAAACTTAAAAAACGTCAATTTCCCTTCGATTTAATTTTAAGAAAAAAGGATATTGCACTTGTTGTGCTGATATTAAAAAATGTGCAAAGTTTTAAAAAAATTTACCGAAGGAAAACAGAGGAAATTTGGGTTTAATTTCGGCAATTTTTACTAGATTTTTACGCGAACAATTTACCCCAATTGACGTGTACATGCATTCTGCATAAAACAACAAGGCATACATAACTTTTTTGAAATCACAAAATATAAATTAATATGTTTGATATACTGTTTATAACTGTGTCGGTTAATGGTCAACTAAGCGTGGATTATACATGTAAAAATGGCAAAGATATTTAGGTAATTACTGGTTATGACCTCTTGGTATTTGAAAAATGTTTGTCAAAATTCGTCCTGTGCGAGTTTATAGTACTATTGTCGGATGTTTTCGCAAAATGCCCGTTCAAATTTCAGTTTTTATAGTGGTAATTGTTTGGAGTTTTGGGCCTTGGCCCTGCTCATTTCACCCGTAGAGGGCTCATTATTTAAGTCATCCTTATTGTCATAAGTGCTGCTAGATTGTGGAGAAAACACTGCAAATTCTTGAGGAAACTTTATATCATATCCCAATGTTTGCGATCGAACCTCGCATACGGCGAGAATACCGTTCAAAAAACATCCAGAATACCGCTTGAAAAAAAACAAGTTTACATTATCTTCTTTTGAAACATCACATCCAAGTATCGTTTTGGCTTTTAGAACTCTTTTATGCTTTGAACTAAAGCAAAGTTCACACTTTTGTTTCAAAAAAGAGTTCCATATAAAACACAACGTTACAGTTCGTATTTTAGTTTCCACATCCAAAGATAAATTTCCCTAATATTGCCTCAAATTTTAATTTTTTCACAAACTTTTCCTCTAAGTGGAAACACTTACAAGCATGATCCAATAAAAAAGTTTAGGGTCGGGATTTCGAAGTCCAAAAGCTAGGTAGGGTCGGGAAACCGGAAACCCACATATTTTTTTTTGGCCTAGGGAGCCATCTTAATACGATTCAAAAGCTAATATTTATGTATCAATCTGCTGAACGAGAAATATTATAATTGTAGAGTTTCTCCTCAGTCTCCCCCTGTACAATAAATTATGAGCAGTCCCTTAGTGATGAATTAAGTCATTTCAACAGCAATGACATATTGAAATTTTCTTAGCCCAATCATCGCTTTACAAAGGATGACTGTATACCGAGTATGGTTGGGCGATATTAAAAAAATCATCTCACGATTATTGTCAAGGAAATTATCACGATATTCGATAATATCGCGATAAATGCAATAAAAACTATGGCCACATTTTTCAATTTGAATTATATCAAAGCATAGTAAGCTTATATATAATCTTATTAAAAACAAGTAAAACAACAAATCAAAGTAATATGAAGGCTTTTTCTAGTCCTAATATTTACTGCTCATAAACCAGAATTGAGAATTGTCTATACTGTGTCTCCCCTGGCACAAATGCTGTGTATTTCATTGCAATTTAATGAAATTGCAATGAAATACACAGCATTTGCAGGGTTCGAATTAATTCTGAAAAAATGGTTCGTGAATTAATTTTCTTATTTTAAGGAAATTTTAAGGAATGTTCAAGGAATTTTCTCTAATTGGAAGTCAAAAAGTGGAAGCACTGCAATTTTCAAATATATAATACGACTATAATATAGTATATTAAATATACATCGCAAACTCGCAAAGAATTAGAATTTTGGGTGGAATTATAATCGTTTTTAAGTACAATCTAACAACAATATCTTCAGAATATATGATCCTTCATTACATTTACAAAGAACTGAATTTATTATTGTACATTTTTATCAATTTGAGAAACTTTTGATTCGTGATTTTGATCAATTTCTATGAAATTGGGTTCGTGAAAAATGAAAATTGATTCGTGATTCACGAATCACGAACCGTTATTTCGAACCCTGATTTGTGCCAGCGGCGACGCAAATTTTTTTTCCGTAGACAGTCGGACTCCTCATTGATAGTCGGACGCATCATTGATCCGCGTCCAGGCCTCCGCGCGTTATCGATCGATCCCTTCGTACCCTGCATGACCCACTGGTATACCATATGTCCATCATTCCGCGTTGTTCCAGTCTTCGACCACGTTTGTTTGTTTTTCTGGTTCATAAAATACTCAAGAACTGTTATTACGAATTAAAACTATATACCATCCTAATTGAACAGAATCAGTATAAGATAACTAGCGTGCAAGGAAATATTGGAAGATTCAAAGAGACCATCAAAACCACTTTCCACAAATAGAAGTATTGCAGAATACCCGTCCACTAGTAATATCATATCATGTAGCCCAGCCACATTTCATGGATATGTATATACCAGATCTTATTGCCTGGTTCTAATATACACAAACTAATTACTAAGACAATATTACGAATTGATACAATAAAAGAAATATCATGCAAGACTTTTAATGTTTAATATTATTATGCTTAATATGCTTTATAATATAAATGTTTTTCTCCCAGCGACGCTAATTAATCATAATCTGTCAAACACCAATGTCCGGTTGTGAGGAACATAATAGGGAGCTTTAGATTTGACTACGAGTACGACTACGAGATTTGATCACGTGCGAGGAAATTACCGTAGCCGTTTTCGTTTCCATTCAAATGTTGCTTTTATAACAGTAAATCAACAACTAGAGAAAAAGTTTCATAAACTAAATCTCCTGCCGACTAAAATCCCCTACAAAACGTGTAAATAAATCA